GAATCTAAACGGCCCGTATTCTGAGAATCACCCATTTACTTATCTCAACAACTCAGTGCACTAATGGTTCATTTACTTATCTCAACAAGTCAGTGCACCTTACTCAAATTAGGGAAGAGCCAGTGTTAAGTTTACTTCGTAATAAACCTCTGAATTATTATACTAAGTCAACCCTTAAACTTGTTCCTGTAAACCTTTCAAGTAGCTTTGTAAGTTTCATTTAGTAATGCATTAATTGTTGAAAATGATTTGGTTAACGTGTCAAACTGTAAATTTTGTCTTTGTTATAGCCTGATCCCAAAAATGATTCTTGTACAAACCTGAGCCTCCAAGAGTCAGGAGAGCAGGACCCTGATCAGAGACGCAAGCACTCTTGTTATGTCCGCTTTAGGAACATCAATCCGTCTGATTTCTCTCAGGTTTGCATTGCGGTATTGACTTTTATCAAAATCTATCCAATTTTGTCATTAATTTTATCTCATTTGTATTTTAAGGATGAACTTAAAAATTTTGTAATGAACACAATGAAAGATGCAAAATTTATTGCTGATGATGTGGAAGGCGTAATTACAAACATTTTTAATCCACAGCCATTATCTAATAGTGTTGTAGTCCAGGTACTTTTCATACTATGACCCTTCCCTTTCTTTAGTTTTTACCCCCAAAAAATTTATCAGTTTATGTTTCCGTTAGTTTTCATGTCCTGAGGAGGCATACCTAGCTTCTCTTCTGCAGGCTGTTCAGTATAAGGGCAAAAATCTAGAAATGTTAAGAATAGAGAAGGATGATGTGTCGAAAGATTCCTTGACAGAAAATGGTACAAGACTTAAATTTTTGAATTTCAATATTATAATTTTGAAACTGTTGAGAAAGTATATGTCATCAACTCCTATTCTTGACAGATGATTCTACCTTAACTGACATGCCAGCCATCCTCACTCTGAAGGATGAGGATGGGAAGGACCATCTTCTTAGGGCGCTCGTAAAGAGCAGAGAAAATTTTCCTACTAATGGACCGCATGAGGAGGCAATACGCACTGTCCAGAAGCTTGTCCACAAAGAAAATGTTATTGCTAGTTGTGCTGAAATACGGAAAAAAAGGGCTACATTCCGAGACGCATACAACAAACAAAAAGCCAACGCTGTCAAGCCAAACAGTTTCTTCAATGTTTACTCTGTGATTTTTGACAATGCTGACATTAACATCCTCAAAGGCACTAAGTATGAGGTCAGCATGGACAACTCTGTTTCTGATTTTAACAGCACCATCATGGACAATGGGATGAATAATGAGGATTTAGATTCTCTAATTAAATTGTCAGGAGGTACTTGTCTCATGCATACAGTTCATTCTCGCTGTTGCTGTTAAGCAATTTTTTTTGTTTTTTGTAAGTCCACTTAGTGTAATTGTCTTTTAATTTTGCACCTTTTTTAATAGCATCTACATGGACTAATGACGCCACAAAAGCATTCATCGGTGTGTGCATTGATTGTAAACCATTGTATGATAATGGAAAAAGAGACAATTTCTGGCTGACCGTGAGCCGTACTTTGGCTCGTCAAAAATATATGCACATGCCTAAAAGATGCCAGAAAAGGTTTGAGGCATTGACAGCGGAATATAGAAACTACTCTCAAGAGGCTGAGCGAACAGGGGCAGAAGGTCCCTTAGAAATGATAAAGTCAAGTGAGACTAGAAAAATAATGGCACTGATGGGAGAATTCTGGTGTAATAGTGTTTCTATCAAACCCAAAGTAACTATAGCAGCTGGAGTCAAGGCTGTGACTCATCATACTGTAAGTGTTAAAATAATTATCTGAAAAATGAAATTCTTTGAGACATCTATATTTACTTCAGTTCTTTTGTTACCTTGTACAAGGAAAAACAGCCATCACCAACAGGCAGAGTCAGAAAGCTACCCTCCAAGAAAACTGACACTCGTGCAGAAAGGCTATTGAAATGTGAGGAAGAAAAGTCAGGTGCTCTAAAACTAATGTCTGAGAGCATAGCATTGATGATGCAAAACAAGCGGAATCAATAACAATTAAATTTTTAGCCCCCTTTTGGAAGTGGTACATTTGTTCTGATTATGTATGTTATTGTAACTTATTTTCTTTTCTTTGATATTTAATGCTCTTTTTTAATACGAGAGAATTGGAGTAGCAGTTGCCCTCAGCGTTGTTGTTGATGATTATGA